TGACATATTATATATATTCCTCTTATGAATTTCAAAAAAATAAAAATTCTATCGGATAGAGGAGCAAAAAATACGTCAAAAAGGTAATTTGACCCTTCTTCCTGCGGCACATCTTAAGGCCGAAAAAAAATAAAAAAGGAAATTTCGGTTTTGATCAGAAAAAAATTGTGAGGATCCGACACGAGACCACTTTTTCGCCTATAACTCCGCTATTTCTTAACCGATCGTTTCGAGTCATATCCCACTTGAAAGAGGGTGAAATTATCTACAAAATGTTTTTTATTGAGATTCCACATCGTTTTTGTCTTCAAGATATTGGCCGTCAAAGTTGAAATTTCTTGTAATTTTGTTAAAATTTTCGATGTCGATTTTCTCGAAAACGGTGCCCCGTAGAGGGATACTTTTAATAGGCTTTTTTGTAGTACTCGACGAGATCTATAAGTCTTACATTTAAAGTTTTTCTCTCAAGCTTTTCGTTTTCGAGTTAGGACGGTTCAAAAATTGAAAAAAAAAAATCGAAGGCTAGACCCTTTGAATTTTTTTGTCGAAAAAATTCAAATATCGAATTTCAAAAAAAGACAAAAATCTATCGGATAGAGGAGCGGAAAATATGTCAAAAAATAAATTTGACCCTCCTCGCCACGGCACATCTTTAGGACGAAAAAAAATAAAACGGGAAATATTGAGGTTTGACAAGCATAGATGTCAAATTTTTTTTTTACACGACTTGAAATGTTTTGAGAAAATATTATGCGTGGCGGAATCCTTTTTTTGATATTGAACCTGCTTGTCATATTTTTAACGTTGACAGCTGTCAAAATTGGCCATTTCTAAAAAAGGACTCCGCCCCACACCAAATTTATTTAAAGCGATTCCAAATTACCAGGTGAATTTTTTTTTACAACTGTCATGCAACCGGAATTGCATACATTAGGATCGTTTGCATTTCTCCACGCTTTACCTTAGAAACCACGACCACCAAACTTGGTGCGTAACGATTATTAAATGTTGGCCTCCGATCGGCGTCGGAAGATTTCGACAGCTGTCAACGCTTCATTCATCGTCCGCGGTGTTAACTGGCGAGTCGCGAGACGTCCTGCCGGTGGGCTTAGCTCGCAAGGGCGGCCCAACTCAATCCTGCCGCGGTGCTCTTTATTGAGTGTCGAGGTGGGCCGGCACGTTTACTTTGAACAAATTAGAGTGCTTAAAGCAGGCTAAAACTTCGCCTGAATACTGTGTGCATGGAATAATGGAATAGGACCTCGGTTCTATTTTGTTGGTTTTCGGAACTCCGAGGTAATGATTAATAGGAACGGATGGGGGCATTCGTATTGCGACGTTAGTGGTGAAATTCTTGGATCGTCGCAAGACGGACAGAAGCGAAAGCATTTGCCAAAAACGCTTTCATTGATCAAGAACGAAAGTTAGAGGTTCGAAGGCGATCAGATACCGCCCTAGTCATTCTAAGTATAAACCGTGCCATCGAGTAATCGATTCCTTCGAAAACGGCGGATAAAACTTATATAGGCGGATAGAAAACATCGAGCCGAATTCGGAAAAATCACTAAAAAAATTCCATGGCCAACTTAGCCATCTGTCAATGTCAAATTTTTGACAGGCGGAAGGAATTTCAAAAAAAGGGCTCCGCAAAGCACGAGATTTCTTTAAGGCGTTTCGGAAACACCAGGCGAAATTTTGATGACAGCTGTCATGCGACCGGTGTGTGTTCAATAGGGTAAACGGCCTTTCCCCACGCTTTACCTTACAAGGTGGAAACCTCAAACTCGGTGGAGTATGTTTGTTCAACGTGGCCGACCTGTCGGTGTCAAAAAATTTTGACAGCTGTCAACGTCAAAAAAGTTATTTTTGCATTTCTCGGAAAATTTAAAATCCAAGTGTGGGAAAAGTTTCCCCGGACCCAGAAACCACTTAAAAAAAATTGACATTGACATACGTCAAAAACTGACGGCGTGACAAGGAGAAACGTCATCTTTGACATACATCAAATTTCGAAGATGCGTTCGGATAGAACTTTGGTCGCGAAACACCTTGGCCTTATCGACAGACGCACCTGTCAAATTTGACACATGTCCGACTTTTTCCCCGCTCGACTATAAAAGCTACGACACCCACACCCCGGTAGAAGGCGGTTAAGGGTCGCCAACTATCGGTTTGTGTCGAAAAAATTTGACAGCTGTCAACGTCAAAAAGGTTTTTTTTTTATTTTGCGAATCTCGAAAAAAAAAGTAGTGGAAAACGTTCCGCCGATCCCGAAAACCCTAAATAAAAATTCCCGTCGATATACGTCAAAAACTGACGGAGTGACAGCACGAAACGTAATTTTTCGACATATGTCAAATTTCTAAGAAACAACCGGATATACGTTCTGTCATTTTTTAAATTGCTTTCAATTGCCGATGACGTCTGTCATCCTACCTTACCTGCTTGTCACTTTTTTGACGTTGACAGCGGTCAAAATTGAAGATGGATTTTTTTTAGTATTTTTTACGTGTTCGCAGAGCCGAAATCTATACGGATGCACCGGTTTCCTCGCCATCCGGTTTAAAAAATTATTACTCGGCCGCGCGACTGTGACAGCTGTCAAAATTTTTCTTTTCCCAAATCGATTTATTATTCAAAAATAATAAGCGTGGTGAAGTTCTTTTTTTGATATTGACTCTCCTTGTCATACTTTCGGACGTTGACAGCTGTCAAAATTGGCCATTTCAAAAAAAGGACTCCGTCCCTCTTTAGATGTCTTTAAAGTGCTTCCAAATCACCAGGCGAATTTTTTTCAACAGCTATCATATGACCGGTATTGGATGCAATAAGGTCGTTTGCCTTTACCCTCGCTTTACCTTACAAGACAGGACCACCAAACTCAGTGCGTAACGATTATTCAACGTTGGCCACCGATCGGCGTCGGAAATTTCCGACAGCTGTCAACGCTTGTCATATATTTAGGTTTGACAGTCATACGCGTCAAATTTTTTTTTTACACGACTTGAAATTTTGCGAAAAAATATTATGCGTGGTGGAATCCTTTTTTTGATATTGAACCTGCTTGTCATATTTTTGACGTTGACAACTGTCAAGATTGGCGAATTTTTTTTTACATCTTTCATGCGACCGGAATAAAATAAAATAGGGTCGTTTGCCTTTCCCCACGCTTTACCTTACAAGCCAGGACCACCAAACTCGGTGCGTAACGATTATTCAACGTTGGCCACCGATCGGCGTCGGAAAATTTCGACAGCTGTCAACGCTTGTCATAATTTTAGGTTTGACAATCATAGGTGTCAAATTTTTTTTTAAGCGACTTGATATGTTTTGAAATGAAATTATGCGTGGCGGAATCCTTTTTTTTATATTGAACCCGCTTGTCGAATTTTTGACATTGACAGCTGTCAAAGTTGGCCATGGAATTTTTTCAGTATTTCCTACGTGTTCGCCGAGGCTAAATCTATACGCCCGTGTGGTTTTTTTTTCAATTTTAACAACTGTCAATGTTAAAAAAATTTATCTTATCTTAAGCAGGGAACCAATCCACTCCTCGTCGATGTTGAAACCTGTCTTCTTCAGTCTCTGAGACGTTTCAACGACTTGGTTTACGTAACTTTCCATGTTTTCACAGCTTTCCAAACGAAGAGATATTAACGTGCGCAGGAGCCTAATTTTCCTGACGAAACCAGTATCTTCATAGAGATTTTTAACCTTCAACCACACTTCCTTTGCAGTAGTGGCCTCTCTAACGTGCATATACAAAGAGGGATCGATGGTGAGGATGAGTTTTGCCTTTGCTTTGGCAATCAAAACTGTGTCCGTCTCACTCCCATCAATGCATTTCGTTAGGCCTTCCAAAAGGAAAACGTTTTCAACTGCAAAACTCCACTCGTCGAAGTTTTCGCGACCGAGTAGTTTTGGACAACTGTTTAAATAGTTAATCGACATTTTACTATTTACTTTTTCACTTCACGGAACGAACAAAACTGCGGTAAAACTTGTTCCAAACGATTTTTCCACGCGATTTAACTGGGCAACATAACCTATTAAAAAGCAGGGGGGAGGAAAAAATGAAACGACCGACTTGTTCAACTGTCCGAAAGGAACTACTTTTGTTTTATTAGAAAACAATAACATGTCTCCATAGAATCGTATCTCCAAGGACTGACAGGTGACAATACTGACATACGATACAAAAGTAAGACTAGGTATACATACTACTGCTACTGTAGAGGGCGCGCTTTGTACCATTTTTTAATTTTTTAAGCTATCAAACAAAGCTCGATCGGCCATAAAATTATTCGTACAATAAAGCCTTACTTTATGTACCTACTTGTTATATAAATAGCTATTATTTCAAAAATTGATATTTTAATTTCCAATTTGTCACTTTTATTTCCAAATGTGTCATTTGTATTTCAAATTAATCAAATGTATTTCAAACTATACCATTAATGGCCGTTTCCACCAACTATTTTAGGGGAGCCTTAACGATCAGTATTCCCTAAAATGACATTTTCATATGGAGAAATGTCAGTTTAAGGAATACTTATCGTTAAGGCTCCCTTAAAATAGTTGGTGGAAACTGCCATTATACTTCCAAAAAAATCAGATGTATTTCAAAATCATCATTTATTATATCATCAAAAACTGTAAGGGAGGCACAGGGTGTTTGGTTATAATTTGACTTTTTTAACTGTACGATATAAACACATACTTTATTTTTTAACCGAATTGATAATTTTTGAAATAAAACTGACCATTTTTGGAATACATTTCACTAATTTGAAATACATTTGATGTATTTCGAAATAAATTTGGTTATTTTGAAATACATTTGATATATTTTGAAATAAAATTCATTAAGATTGAAATCAAATTGATGCTTTTTGATATTCAATTGATGATTTTGAAATACATTTGATATTTTTTAAAATTAAAGTTGTTATTTTGAAATACATTTGATGCTTTTTGAAATCAACTTTATCTATTTTGAACTAAAAGTGGAAATGGTGTAGTTCATTGTTTTGCTTTTCTAGAGAGTTAATTCTCTCTATTAGGGCGTGATTTTGTTCAATTAGTTCATCAATCTGCTGTATTTTGTTTTGAAGTCCATTTTTGTGAGTTTTAGTTATTTTCTCAATATCCAGTTTTACTTTATCCATTTTAGAAAGTTTAGCCCTCAGCGCTTCCATGGTCTGAGAAAGTTGACTAGTCTTTCGATGGTAGCTTTCTTCAACTGCTTTGGCCTTATCAGTTAGTATTTGAGAGCCCCGCTCAAATCTTTTGATGTGGTTTTCTTTTAATTTTAGGTCATATTGAAGTTGTTCTATGTCTTCATTTAAGGTTTCAATATGACAATCATCCAAATCCTTTTTTTCGTGAATCATATCCCTATTGATTATTTCCAGTTTCTGCTTTTCAGTTAAATTTTTGAAGACTTTTATAATTGAGTCCTTTTCAGCAAGCCCAAATTTACAAGAAACACAAAAAAATATTATATTTCTGTTTTGAATAGTTAAGGCATCTGCTTCAGTGGTGGAGATATTAGCACATTCCTTGCAAAGGAAAGTCTGGCATCCATTACAGCTGGTTCCTTCTTTGGCATTTGGGTGCCGCTTAAAAATACACTCTTTTTGACATATTTCGCAATTCGATGTCACGTTGGGCTAAAAAAGGATCTCATCAATTTGGATTTCAAGTCCTCAAACAGAAGCAACTGGAAATTTTCAAGAAAGGTCTATGTTCAACAATAGACATGGAAACAGGCCGTTTGATGATGATGATTGTTGTGTTCGAGTGGTTAATGAAACACTCCCGCTAATTATAACATTTATTTATACTGTATGAAAGTACTTGGTCAATATAAAATAGTATTTTAGCTTCCGAGTCGTGACGTAACAAGTAAAGAAACAGAGCGTTGCGGTGGCTAGGGCAATCAGGTACAGACTGCCTTGATGTAGGTTTTCCTTCGTTTTCGTCTCCGCTGGGCATCAGTTTCACAAGGTTGCGCTTGCGCTCAGTTCTGACGCTACAATGATGATCATTCTGTAGTTGAGCAATAATAATTGGCACATCCATTCAAATTTTTTTGGTATTTAGTGGATTTCAAACCATTCTAGATAGAATATTTTGCAGGAATTTGTCAGTGGTTACTTATAAATTAAAATAAAACAAATTCAATTATGTAATTTATTTAAACATAACTATATTCTTTTTGCATTTTGTAAGCACATAGTTACACTATTTACAACCGAAAGATACAAATTAATTTATAAATAATAAATTGAGAAATTAGAAAGCTAAGAAAAATTATAACAAAATATCTTTTTATTGTCCTATAATATTACTTCGTTAATTATTCAAGATGAATATTACCTAAATTTATTATAGTTTCAATGATTGGCTTCAAAGACGCTAGGCAATGTTGCCATGAAAAAAAATTCTTTGGATGCAAGAAAAAAAAAATGTTAATGAGTTCAAGAGAACCCATTGCTGAAATGCTCGTAATATTAGGTCTAATAATTTGTTTTTTTCCTCAAAAAGCATCATAAAACACTCTATTCTAAAGCCTACTTTATTTTCTTTGCATATCACTTTGATTTAGCAACAAAAAAAAAATTACGATTATGTGCTCTATAATATTTATCATACAACATGCAACAGCGCATTGTGAAAGTACAAAAAAATCTATCACTGTGTGTGTATAAGCCTCAGATGACTAAAACAATAATAGAGGCCGATATTAAATATTGACGGTCTGAGCTATATGGAGCTTTAACCTGCTAGAGGAATCTGAAAACGGTGAAGAAGCATTTGTGGCGTTTGAAATATTCAAGGGATTTTTGAATGAAATACTACCATCGTTTCTTGTTCTTCCTCTAAAGTACAACTGTATAAAAACTCGAACCAGTACTGGGGTAATAAAAAAGTACCATAATACAAAATAACAAAATTGTTTTTGTTCACCAAAATGCCTTTTGTCGTTTAATCAGAAAATTGCAAATAAACAAAACATTGGACACACAAACGCATTTATATACAAGCGTTAAGGATGATTTTAAAGTACATTATAATCTGCCAAAGAAGACAAATGTTCTGTATGAAGGTTCTATGCACAAGGCACACCAAAAATTTGTTATTTATTAAATGTAGAACCCATTCAGTTTCTAATCACCAATCTCATAGGAGCAGCAGAATCAAAATTACATTTACGAGTTAGCATTTGGAAACACTTTTGAGGCAGACTGTACTGTAAATTCATCCTATTTCAGCTCATTATCTTAGAATAACTAAAAACATATTCTTTTAACTTTTGGTCAACTTTTTTTTTATCTTATGTTAAACTACTTTATCTCGCAATATAATATCAATTTTTTAAAGTATAATTTTTTTAACGAATTTCCTGTTATTGTTTGGATTTTGATTCGAAAATAGCTTTCATGTCCTTTATACAGTATGTAGGCGACGCCTTCTCTTTCCTAAAATTTTCAAAATAAACAAAAATACATGGAAAATTGGCAAGGCACTTACCTTGGGCTATTTCTGCTCTCCATACTAACTCTACGTAATCTTTCAGATTCCGTCTCCCTCTCCCTGGTTTCGAACGTATGCCTCCGTCTCTCTTCTCTACGTACTTCATCATCTCTTCTTTTATGCCTTATAAAATCCAAATCTTTCAGGTCACCCGGTATATCGTCCGAGCTAATCAAACTCGATTTATCACCTAGAACAAAACAAGCATATAAACAAAGGATTTTCTAAAATAAAAATTAAATTTTTCCAATGATATACAGGGTGTCCGGAAAATAGCGGAAAAGCTCTCCACTACATATTATAGTAGCGGGTCCTTTGAGTAACCCTAAACCTAGAAAAATAATTCAAAAAATCCTCCTCGACCTTTCTTGGTAATATAAAGAGGTTAAGAGGCCAACAACAAGCCGTTAAAAATTGAGAAAAAGGGTTAATTTCCTGAGACGAGAACTCACTTATTTTGTAATATTTTTTGACCGGATTAGAAAATAATAAAAGATAAAAATCTAAAGAATAATGCTGTTGTTTTAGTTTTTCGAAAAAAAAATTGCAAATTGAAAATATCACGACCTAAATACTCGAAGAAAAGCATCATTTCTATCGCTCGGTACATCCAAACCCATCGCTTTTTTAAAAAAAATGAAACAAGAGCATTGTTCTAAATTTTATTATCTTTTCGAATCTTCTTGATTCACTAAAAAATATTAAGTAGTTTTTGAGATCTCGTCTCAAATTGTAAGCCCTGCAAACACGGAAATTCAAAAATTTTGGCTGCAGCGACGTGCTGCCTCTGGCGGATTTAATTTCGCACCGGGGTAAGTAAAAATTACACGACGCGAGAGGACTGCAAGGCCAGTTATTAGTTTGTGTAAATAATTATGGTGAATATATTTCATAATGAACTCAAAACGAACAAAGATAACTTTACTAGAATTCAATAAACGAAAGAGGATATCATATAGCATAGTTAAATACAGTTAGTACGTGAAGGTTAGGAATAAAATCCATCAAAAATACAAGGTTGATTTTTTTTTCAAAAAATCTCGGATACGTCGATTTTTGATTTTAGTGGCCGTTTTTTTGATAAGAATTTCATACATTTGTCAAAACTGATATACCAACAATAAACTGACATGTTTTGATTGTTGATTTGAACCAATCAGATTGGAATTACGTGATAATTTATATTAGTGTAAATTATTGCATAGTAACTAATGCGAGAACTGGTGTTTTGACAAAAAATTTGAATTTTTGATTCATGAAATTTTCTCATAAAATACAGTGTATCCACTTAAGTTCGCAGCACATGGGAAACTTTTTTATTATCAATTTTACGAAAAAAAGTTATCCTTTATAAGAGTTTCTGCTTCTTGAAAAAATAATATCAAACTATGTATTAAAAGTTGAAAAAGCATGTACAGGGTGGTCAAAAAATAGAAAAATATACAGGGTATTTCCTAAGTACGGTCCGTAACTTCAGGATGTCATTCCTTACGATATTTTAACAAAAAAAGTTCCCATAAATATGTGACCAGAAATGCGTAGTTTCTGAGATACAGGGTGTCAAAGTTTTAGAAAAAATCGTTTTTTCAGCTCAAAAATTTTTCCATTTTTTTTTTTTTTAAATTTGGCAGGTTGATTTGTGATAACGAAAGATTTCTTTTGACTGAAATATGACTTGCTTAATCTGAAAAAAATATCAAAGGTTTAAAAAAATAGTGATGTGCCATTTTTTTTCTACTTTTACCAAAAAACCCTGCATATTTTCCTATTTTTTAATCCCCCTGTACCGGGTGTTTTTTTTATTTTCGATATCATTCTGATCACCTGTAACTTTTTTGTTTTTGAAGTTATCAAGGTAAACAAAAAAACAAAATGTAGGGTTAGTAGCCAAGTTTTTTTTCAAATTACACGTAAAACAAAACACTATCAACTTTTTGACATATAAGCCTACATTATATTTTTTCAAATGGAACACCCTGTATATTATATATGTGTTCGATATAATATCTTATTCTGATTACAATGATATAGCACACTTCATATTTTGGTCCACTCGTTTTTGACAAATCGGCAAAAATATGAAACTTTCGAAGTGAAACTTATTAGGCGGCGCGGTCTGATATTTGGGACGAAAATTATTGAGAGCATATAAAAATTTCATATATTTTTGCCGATTTGTCAAAAACGAGTGGAACAAAATATGAAGTGTGTTGTTATATCATTGTAATCAGAATAATATGCTCTAACGTACACACATATAATATACCGGGTGTTCCATTTAAAAATAGTTTATTAAAATACAAGCTTCATAAGACGTGATTTTATCGCATGAGCCCTATATTAGAAAACGAGCCGGAGGCGAGATTTTTAAAGGACGAGTGCGATAAAATGTCTTATGAAACGAATATTTTATACTATTTTTTCTATTCTGGTATTGTTTAATTAAAAAAAAACAAATTTTTCTTGGAAATTTTATTCTCATATTTCCTGATTTCATGTTTAGGTTGGTAACATTACATGCCAAATATAGAATTAAGGGCGGGTATTATAAAACTACTTTGAGAGTTAACTTAAAGTTAATTTTTGAAATTACATGTAATTCAAAAAGTTAACTTTAAGTTAACTGTCAAAGCAGTTTTATAATACTCGCCCTAAATCTTCTATAAAATCGAGAATGACAGTGCGATGGCCATCAGTCAGCCAGTGTTACCAACTTCCGATAAGTGAAAAAGGAGTGTCACAAAGAGCTTCTTTTCGAAACTACTTTTAGTGTCGAAAAGACTTCGATATGAAACCAAAATAAAAAAAATATAATGTAGGCTTATATGTCGAAAAATTGATAGTGTTTTGATGTTTTGTTTCATGTGTAACTTGAAAAAAAACTTGGCTATTAATCCTACATTTTGTTTTTTTGTTTACCTTGATATCTTTAAAAACAAAAAAAGTTACAGGTGATCAAAATGATATCAAAGATAAAAGAACAGCCGGTACATGCTATTCTAAGTTTTAATAGTTTAATACTATATATTTTTTCAAGAAGCAGAAACTTTCATAAACAATAACTTTTTTTTGTAAAATTGATAATAAAAAAGTTTCCCATATGTTGCGAACTGAAGCGGAAACACTGTACAGGGTGGCCCGTTTAAGAGGGGCCTATACCTTATCTCGAAATCTACAAGGGTTGCAAAAAAAAATTAAATACAAAAGTTGTTTCTAATAAAATTATCTACATTTTTTTTTCATTGTTTTTGTTGTTACTGTACTATATACAGGGTGGAGAGATAAAATTTAATTTTTTTAAATGGAACACCCTATATCGTAATACACTTTTACATAACCCTTTGAAAGACAAATCCAACGATATACTAGACATGTGTCTGTGATAAACCGTTTCGAACTTATTAGCGATTATCTTCAGGGATTCAGGGTAATTTTGAACAGGCATTGTTACGTTACTCATAAACTTTTGAAACTTTTTTTTTGCGTGATATTTTTTATAAAATGATGCTCTTTTTTAGACTATACTGAAATTTAGCAAAATGTTACGCTTTTCAATTTTTTTTAAATGGGACATCCTGTAAATTTTCGAATTTTTGGATAGCCTTTTAAAATACAAATTCAACGATATACTGGACATGGGTCTGTGATGCACCCATTTTGGCCTGATTGGCGATTATCTTCAGTTCTAGCACAATATTTCATGTCATCCCTGATGAATAAAAAACAATGTCCAATTTTGCATTAGATTAGATGAAATAGTGCTTTTTATTATTATTATTTATTCAAAAAGTAGTCAAAGTTTCTCCCCATTATTAAAATAAAAAAGGCGAGAAATTTGGATAAAAACAAAAAATGAAACGTAACGCTGTGTTGCTATATTTGTCAGATCAACCTAATTACGTGTTAAATGCGATAACACATTTACAAGTAAGATATATTACCTGTATTGTTGAAAATGGCGGACACAGAGAATTTAATTAAATTAATTTTATAGTTAGCCTGAAGTTGAAGTTCTCAAAATGTTTATTTATTTAATCTTAATCAGTAACCTTTATTTTGGACTTTATAATTCAATGCTTTCCTTGTTTACTGCAACTATAGTTTATTGCAGTAGGTATTATTAAATAATTTGCGAAATATTTTTGCTAGAACTGAAGATAATCGCCAATAAGGCCGAAACGGTGCATCACAAACCCATTTCCAGTATATCGTTGAATTTGTATTTTAAAGGGCTATCCAAAAATTCGAAAATTTACCCATTTAAAAAAATTGAAAAGCGTAACATTTTGCGAAACGTGGCAACACGGCGTTTTTTGAACAAATATTCCAAATTTCAAAATAGTCTAAAGAAGAGCATTATTTTATGAAAAATAGCATGCAAAAAAAAATTTTAAAAGTTTATGAGTAACGTAATAATGCCTGTTTGAAATTACCCCAGATCCTGAAGATTATCGCTAATAAGTTCGAAACGGTTTATCACAGACACATGTCAAGTATATCGTTGGATTTGTCTTTCAAAGGGCTATATGAAATTGTTTTGAAATATAGGGTGTTTCATTAAAAAAAATTAAATTTTATCTCTCCACCCTGTATATAGTAGAGTAACAACAAAAACGATGCAAAAAAAATTTAGATAATTTTATTAGAAACAACTTTTGTATTTAATTTTTTTTTGCAGCCCTCGTAGATTTCGAGATAAGGTATAGGCCCCTCTTAAACGGGCCACCCTGTACAACTCGTGCAATGGAAATATATTTTCAATTTTTGACAAATTTGCACTCATGCGTTTTTGACAGAAATGGGCACTGAAAAAGCACTGGTGCTCCTTTTTAACTAAAAATGCATCCGGGCAAATTTCCCAAAAATTATCGACAATTTCCATTGCACTCGACATTTAGAATTTCATACATCTGTCAAAACTGACATTCCAACAATAAACTGACATGTTTTGATTGTTGATTTACGTTTTATGCGTGTATCAAACGTCAAATTATTGAAGCAATGTCAAAAAAGAGCGAATCTCGCGCAAGTGAGAATTAGGCTTCACGCGATAATTGGCGCGACACTGGTGTTTTAACATTTTTTGACAAAAAATTTAAATTTTTGATTCATGAAATTCTCTCATAAAAGCTCTTTTCGGGTTCGAAAAAAGGACGGTTCTAGAACGG